ACCAGAAATTCCAGATTAGTTGGTATTTCCAAATCAAAGGCAATGAGTCACTTGTTCTTTCTTCAAATCCAGTCTATATATGGTACAGTATCATGAAATATGATGACATACAGATTTGTAGTATTTTTTACTCAAAAGAGATGAGCTCAATGCTGACAGTACATTTTTTTCTGAAACCCTTGAAAACATGCAGAGAGGGAAGTGCAGAATCTTACAGACACTTTTGTGAAAAATAACTTATGATTCACTACAGCTTCCAAAAGCTAAAGATACTGTCATGCAATTCCACTATGAACCAAATAAAGCCTTTTGAAAACACTGCCCCCACAAAATGATTCTAAAAATGCAAGTCTAAACAGATTAAATAAGTAAAAATAAGAAAACAAAAAAGGGTAAGCTGTTTAATGAAATAAGTGGAAGAAAATAAGGTCTCAACTTTAAGAAAATCTCTCACAATCTGAAAGGTATTCAGGGATAAGATTTGTGGGCCCCTTTGTAGGGGGGGAAAAACCCCACAAGACAACAACTAAAACACAACAAAACCTTCCCAGTTTTCATTCCAATGCCCCATTAAATAATTTTGGAATTCTTCTCCTGAAGTGGATTATGCATAGCAAGGCCAGTTTAGATTCAATTATCTTGCCCCTCTCTGTGCTAGAAGTAGTCCAAGAACTGTATTTAAAACACTGCTCTCTTGGTTACAATTTTGCTCTTTGTCACAGACAAAAGTATTTTGCAGACTGTTTTCACAGCCTGCTTCCAGAAAAACCAGTTTGGGTTCTGAAGGAAACTTCAATCTCTCCTTATCAGCTTATTCATTCAGCTTCCCAGTGGCCTGAATGCATACAAACCTGTGTATCAACCACACACACCACCCTAATAAACAAGGTGTAGAGTATTAGAAGGCTGGAGAAGAACAGGTAACCACTTTCTTTGTGAGGACATTTCTATAGAAATGAACTACAGGTAAGAGAACCTAATATATGTTGAATTAAATTCTGAAAAACAACTTCAATGCACTATAAGCACAAAACACGGCCCTTTAAATTGCTTTAAAAACACTCAGCATGTTTCAAGAAAGAAATCTGGATTTAAGAAAAGGCAGATAAATTATGTGTATTGGCTTCTAAGTAGTAAGGACTCATCACCATTCTGCTCCTGAGAAATGGTGCCTGTGTTAGAGAAGGTAACTAAAAATCAGACATGCAAGCTGTGCAGAGAAAAAACACAATAGAAAATGCACGGGATGTGAAGAGAGCTGCAGAGGAAATGGACAATCAAACTAGGATGTGAGCTGTAACAAACTCAGAAATAAGGAATATGCTTCTCACAGTTTTCTATACCAGAAGTTCTGAGCATAGCAACTAAGAGCTGTACTTGAAAATAAGTTTATTTACACTGATATATTTTTTTAGACCTCAATGAATCAGCTACTACTGGCTTCTGAGAGCATCAAGTGCTCTTCCACATGGATTCTCTCAACTGAACAGTAGAAAAGAGACTCTTATGTCTAAAAATATTCAACCTTCACATTTTCTTATTTTTGATTTTTTTTTAATCTCTGTGATATGAGTGAACTGTAGTAGAATCTGTCAACGTGTAAAATATCCAACATTAATCCAACAGATCACGTGGCCACTTGAGCAGTGACAAGGTGTCAATATACTTCATTAATATGGCTGAATTACAACACTACAGAGATTGATGATACACAATATGCAAGACCATGAATACTAATACATAAATCCAATAGAATTTAGCCTAGATTAGATTTGCTAGCTGTCTGGCATCGTTACATTGCATTAATTTTCCCTGCTATTATCAAACCACTCCAGAGATGCAGCGAGACACAAAAATCACTTGAGATGTCTGTGTCTACACATGCTGTGAGTACTGAGCAGCCTTATGGAAAGAACATACCTGATAAAAGTTTGTCTTATTAGCTAGTGGCTTCTCCATCATATGCCACAAATGCTCACAATAACACCAACTGGTAACACATCAGCCTAGAGAAGCATTTCAGCTTGTTTTTGTTACAATAATGGTATCTCCTTATTAGGGGTAAGACACCAGTAGGTATTTTTCTAAATCAATTGTTTAGAAAACAGTCCCTTTAAAACATATTTGATGCCCAGCTGTCTCACAGGTTAAAGAAATCAAAACTAGTTTTAAAAAATTGTATCAAAACTAGTTTTAAATTATCTCCTTTTTAGCACAGTAATGCTATGCCTAAATTTTCTCCCTCTGTAGAATTGCAACTATATTGGCCCACAGATTACATGTTGCTACAAACACCACAGGATCATCTAGGTTGGAAGGACCTTCTGGAGGTGATCTAGTCCAAACTCTTGCTCCAAGCAGGTCAGAATAGACCAGGCAGCTTGGAGCCTTGTGCAATCCACTTCTGAGCATCTCTGAGGGTGTTCTCCATGAGCTCTCTGTGCAATCAGGTGCAGATTTTTCTTTTCTTTGTCTCTAACTGGCATTTCTTCATGTTGCAATTTGTCCACATGGCCTTTTGCCATTTCACTGTGTGCCCAAATCAAGAGTCTGGCTCCATCTGCTCTATATCCTTTCATGAAGTAATTGAAGACAGCACCAAATCTCATCTCAGCTTCTCTTGTTAAGGCTTGACCAACTCAGTCCATCTCTGCCGGTCTCCTGCCAGCACATCATTGCTTTTCTTGTACTGGAGAAACCAAGAGTGCCCACAGTGCTCCAGGTGTGGCCCCACAAGGAAAGAACAGAGGAACAATCTCTTGCTTTGCCTTGCTGGCTGCACCTCTGCAATGCTCTGCAGTTGGCTGCCTTTGCCACAAGAGTACACTGCTGACAAACAAAAATGAACTTCTTACCCATAAACACACCATCCTACAGAGGTGTTTGTGTAAAACCACTCGAGAACAAAGACTTTTTAGATTTAATCTGAAAGTGTGGAGGCACACTGGGATCTTTAGCTCTTAGCACTCTAGATCTATGTGAATTAATGGAAGGAATTGTCATCAGCTCCCTCACGTGCAGAATGTCCTGTTCTCTCACTCCTGTGCCTCAAAGAAGGACTGGAGGTGGAGAGTTGTGCAAAAATAACCTTCAAGAGCAAATTGAACTTGCAGAGGTCAAAACTTCAAGGTAAAGAGTATCTCCAAGGGTTAATCTTATCACTTCATTACAGCTCACACTTTAACACAGTTTACAAACACAGCTTCCTCACAGGTATATTTACTTTATACCAATACCACCATGGTGGCTGCCCACCAATGTGCTTAAGGAATGCCACATCAGAAATAAACAAACAAACTAGAAAAAAAAAAAAATCTTTAAAACCCCCTAGAACCTAGATAGAGGTGCAAAAAAACTAAAAAAACAAGCCAATGAAAAACAGGAAAAACAAAGAGTACAGAAGATGGAAAGAGTCTGTGAAAAATTCACATTCTTATGTTGAACTAAGAACTTGTTCCATGCTCACACATTTATGTGTCTTTGTGTCTTAATATTACAAATCTAAGGCATAACAATTCAAAACCTTTAAAAGAACCAACCCCAAAACAACAAAAACAAAGAAACCCAAACAACAATCCTAAAACCACAAAACAAAACAAAGCACCACTAAACGCAGAAAATGCTTATGATCATACCTCAATGATCTGCTACCTGGAATTAAAATTACAACAATACAACCAAAGTGGAATTGGAAAAACCCCAGAGTTCTTAATACACTCCCAAGCCTATTCTTTAGACCCAGGCAGAAATTGCAAACCATCCACATTTATCCTTTTTTCAGTTAATCTATTTTTACTGTTGGCTTTTCTTTTCCTCCTGATGAGTCCCTTTTCTTTTGCCTATGACTTTTCCCTTTCAGAAATTTTTCAAGGCCTCAAAAGGTTGAATTTTATTGTCATGGAGTCAGGAAGGTAATATTCCACCAAAGGCAGAAATATGTCCTGTCATCAGCAGTTCAAATGAGGCTTAGAAAAAAAGGAATATGGACACAACCTATTTAAAAGGTATCAAACCATTTCAATAAACATTCAGTAGCTCAGAATGCAATGGCTTTGGTATAACTTGTCAAAACCATGATGGAGCTAATCAGAAGCTGAAGATTGTGGAAAATGTGGCTTATATTTTGTTACAGGGCTAGAAAAAAGAAACAGCAATGGCATTATTAAGTGAAAATATCTGGCAAAACTGTTATTTACCTTGTAAATCAAGCTAGTCATTAAGGCTCAAGATACTGTTTGTTATAAATGCCAAAAAAAGTCATTGATCCTTTTATCCTTTTTTTGCTGAAGTAGGGTTTACAAGGATTTTGATGGCATCAGTGGAACCCTCTAAAAACAGTACTACACAAAAGAATTATGATCTCCAGAAAAAATATACAGGACATGCAGAATTCAGCAAATGTCACTCAGCTGGCAATGCTCTTCTCTATGTAGGGTAAAAGAAGAACTTTATGCACACACAAGTTGTGTATTCAAGATAGATTGTTTTACTCTAAAGCAGGAAATGTTAGAGAGTTATAGCCTTGTGTTTACACTGTAGCAGTTCTGCAGCATTGCCTGTAATCCTGACTACGTAAAAATATATTTTTACATAATTTGCACTTTAGTAGCAAGTCTTCACCCATTTATAGCAAATTACTTGCTAAAACTAGTATAACCAAAACTCATGTGTTCTTGCTTTACTTCTTGTGTATGCTTTTTTGACTCAGAACTATCTTTTTTCTTTACAAAATTCACATTCTTAAGACAAAAAAATCCAAACAAAAATAGAAATGGCTTAGACCTAACTATGTTTCTAGTATTTATGATCACCACTGAATATATGTAGAAACTACTAAAGATTAGAAATGCAAGCACTGAGCTAATTTTGAGATATACAACCTTGCTTTAAAACTTCTAGAAAATATAAACAGAAAGTACCATAAAGAGAGCAAACATAGGAAAGGCTGACAAATCAAAAAAACCTGTCTGCTGGGAGTTTGCTTAATTATTAATTCTTACCTTCTGTGCTTAATCCAGGACTTGAAGTGAATTTTGCTACATCGACGATCTTCACAGCGAACTGCTGCCCCGTCTCCCTGTTGATGCATCGCCGCACCACGCTGAAGGGACCCCTGCAACAGAGACCAGCCATGAAAAACCATCCTCCTCCTCCTCCTCCTCACTGGGCCACAATGCCCCTGCCTCTCAACAAGGTTTTGATGTGTGCATTCAGGTGTAGTATCTACACAGAATATACCTCTCGTCCTTGCTTCCCATTAAATATAAAACAAATGGTTCCGACCATTGACTGGTGTAAAGAACATCACTGAGTTCTGTATTTTCCTGTATTAAAGACATTTCTCTTGCCTTGCCCCTTCAGAAAGGCTATGCTCTTAGAAATCTTATGTAATATGCAACTGACATCATCATTATTAAATTTTAAGTGGACCTTATTTAGATGCAAAATCCAAATGGGGAAGTAAACAGAGGTGAGAAACCCATTCCTTCTTTCAGTCCTAATCTGAAAGGATAATGGACAACGACAAGAGTAACAGAATTGTGAGCTGTGAGCTGTTTCAGTTTGTCTGTTTTACACAAACTAGGTTTATTTCAAGTTTGGCATCACTAGATACAAACTTGTGATGTATCTAGTGCATCACAATGTTCTCCATTACAATACTTTGAAATTCCACAAAAGCTCATGATTTTCTTTCATTTATGACACTTGGAGAATCCCAGAAGTTAGAAATTAAACTCAAATAAAAAGAGTAGTTATTTTTTGATATTGAAGTTACATTTGCCAAAACATCAGTCAGAACAATGGCAACCTTTTAAAAACCACCAGCACAAATGTGTATTTTTGGGAGCACCTTTTTGTAGGTGATTTAAGTTTCTGGTGCCTTAACTTCTAGTAAGGAATCTTCTGTCCAATGTTAATAACAACCAATATGATCAGATAAACAGGGTATGTCAAGCTTTCAAACATGACATATAAATATGTTATGAAAACAGAATAGGATTGTTTCAGGAGTGCACTAGCTGTGGCACATCAATCCTTTTTTACTGCTACTTATGTAATGACAGACGTGAGTTCTAAAGAAATCCATTCTGAAGTCTTCTCACAAAGATGTGAGCGAAAAATTGAGGATGGAAAGAGCCTTTGTTCAGTTTATTGAGTGAACATTCACCTGCTGAGTGAAATAAATGCTTTAATATAGCTTGAAAGAAAAATTCTCCCATTCAAACAACGAACTGGAAGTTAGTTGACATGTTCATGAGCAATGGGATTGCAAAGCAACACCATTCTCAAAATAAAAGGTACCCTGAGGAGGCAGAAATGTCCCTCTGAGGGCACTTACAAACCTTAATAACTGGCTTTTGGTATTCCTTTACACACCAGATGATCTGAAGTGTGTAATCCATCACACTACCAAACCTGTACTCGCATAGCTAAACTCCAGGTTTTGTACTCTTTCAACGTACAACATACTTGCAAAGATTTCTTCAAATAGGATTATTTCTGACAGAGAACATGAATACCAAAAGTAGTCAATGAATGCCAGTCTAAATATTCACAGTAAGGAAGATATTTATTAGCACAACTATGGACATGTGATGCAGTCAGAATAAACTACTCAAGAAAATGCATGTTTGTTTTCCTTCTTCTTTCCTTGCTCCAAACACACAATGAAATCCCCCATACTGATGGCTATTTTCCCTTCTGAATCCACACCCCACTATTATTCAGTACTTGGTCTTTTACCAAAAATGACCACAGATATTTTTAAAAATATGATCAATTAAAGCCTCTAATACATAGAAATCCACTTTCATCATTACATGGAAAAGATTCAACTGACTTCATCTGGCATTGGAAGGATACAGCAATTGGCTAAGAATCCTCCCTCCATGTTTCAAAAAGTGATCTTCTATGAAAAAATTCCACTTTATACAGATCAGCATCACGATTTTATCCCAAGTTCCTGCCTCCTCTTTTAGCATTCAAAGTAAAATTGCTTTAAAAGAGCATCAATACATTTAGATTATGCTGATCTAAAAACATTTCAAAACCTAAACCGCAGCTTTGGAATAATGCTGGCAACACCTCCTTTCAATCCTAATTGTCATAAATCACTAGAAACTAAACATATTTATTTCAAATTATCCTTTTTCTTTTCATTGCCATTGTCCCCCCCCCCCCCCCCCAAAGCCTTTCTGGATACATTAAATAATGCTTTTAACATATTCTGATATAGAAGAGTACATCTGGAGTGCAGAGACACCTTACAAGACCATATCCTTAATTTGCAGGCAGATCCCCAAATTCTGTAAATTCACCCAAACTCTACAAATATCAGAAATTCTCACTGTTGCCTGAGCTACGTTTTTATCTCCTGGTTTTGCCAAGCCTGGGCAGGAGAGCTTGCTCAGCTACCACAGTGTGTGTATGTCCTTTCAGCAGGCAAAGAGAGCTGGAGGAATCATAAATCAAAAAGGAGCCTACAAACTGCAGTTCTGGGAGGATCAGATCTGTGTGTAACCTGCCCTTATCTTGTACCACCATATCCTGATTTCTCCTTCCATTATCTATTAACATTTTAAAATTCTGACTTGAACAATTTCCTTCCTGCATATTAAATCTGGGACAAAAAATTTAGAGCATTTTATTCAGTTCTGTAACAGAAAAGGTACAGAGACATCCCTACCATATCAAAATTTATGGCCATATTGAAACTACACTATGATTATGACAGAGGCTTCTCTACTTGGATTGAGGAATGTCAAAGACTCTTAACTAAACAAAATGTGCTGTAAAGCACACAATACAAAAATTGGGGTTGGAACCAAATGATCTTTAAAGTCCCTTCCAAACCAATCCATTTTATGATTGTGTGAATTCAGTGACACCCACAATTAACTCACTCTGTTGAAACAATACAGCAATTTCATACAGAAATAAAAATACTTTTAAACACAACCTGAAGAAAGACTTGGCTATTTACAAACCTCAGACTTCCAACTTTTTCAAAACACTCTCTCTGATACTCAAGCTACACACAGCCTCAAAATAGTGTTAAGACACTACGTTAGATGAATGCATCCCATGACAATAGCATCACAACAAAAGCTTGTACAGTCCAATTTTAGGTAATTTTAAATCACTCACAAGACATGCCCTGATCAATTAAGCAGACAGCAGCACTTCCATGTGCTAAGTAACACAAAGGAACTTTTAAATAAATTATGGTTGCAGTTATTCCTCTCCAGCTGCAATGGCACACAGCAAGTTTATAAATGAAGCCCACAGTGATGCTGTATAACCTGAGTCAGGAAACAAGAATCCCTGTTTCCCAACACAAGAGATTCAAGCCTTATTTAGAAGCTGAGTAACAAAAGTCTTTGAGCCCACCCCGAGTCTCAGCACTGAAAGCACCCAGTGAGGAAAGGAACCACAACAATTCATCTCTCAGCTGAGATGAGGAGCTGCTCCTGCTCAACAGTTGTGCCTGCAGATGGGGAATGTGTATCACATCCTTGCTAAATGACAATTTCTAAAGCTCATTCTGCCAACCCTGCAGCTCAAATTTTACAGATCTAAAGTACAGAGGTGACACAGACTGGGGAAGGAACCACTGTAACCCCAGACACAGATCATCAAAGCTGTCAGAGATAGATAAGACTCCTTATTTATTAGGAGTAACTGAGTTAAGTTGTATAAGACTTCATTTTCTAAGTCATACAAACTGTAATCCTGTCATGTGCTTTATATTTCATTTCTCTCTGTGCTACCTTTAACAGACATAACCCAAGCTTGCAAAATCTTTCCCTGCAGACAGCTGGCACACCAGAGACTACAGCAGCTCAAAGATGAGGATCCTTCAAACATGCAAGCAAGCAGTAAGGACAGACGATTCCTTCACTGATATTTTATCAAGGTTGGCAGCAGCACACTCCGACACCTGGAACACTTGGAGTCCCACCTGCAGTGTATGGCAAAATCCAAAATGTATGAACTTAAACTGAAGCTGGGATTCATGATGGGTTTTTCTGTCTTGTGCAGATGGAAATCCAAGAGTTGCATTACTGAGGAGGTTAGTGAGTACACATAGGCCAGAAAATGTGGATTAAAATGCTAAAGAGGCTGTCTCATGTCTTTTCATTAGTCCAAAATTTCAAATTAGCAAAGCAGGCCTGATGTAACTTTAACCCCACTGAAACTATTTTCTGATGGTAACTTTACAGAGCAGTTCATTTTCTATCAGCTAACACAAACTTGACTAAAATCAATTATTAATTACTCTCTCCTTCAGGAGTACATCACCTGAATAAGAATAAAACCTTAAAACGTTGATAACATCAAAGCCTTTTTTATCATCTCCTTCACTTTAAATTATTTTACTTTGTGTGTCATTGGGACTTCAAGGACAATGATCATAAACCAATATATTGCAAACTATCTTTTTATACTAAAATCTTGTCAGTTTATCTGTCTGTTCTGCTTCCCATCTCCTTTCCTTCAATCCCTGGTGGTGTGCAAGAAGGAGAACCTGTTGTGGTTGGAATATTCCACAGCCTGTTGCCTTCCCATGTTCCCTCAATGAAATGAGCTGACCTATGGGAATGGAATTTCTGTAAAGACATTTCCTGAACCCCTTTGCTTCAGAGCCTCAAAATTGGAGATTTTAGATCATATCAGACCATCACGAACTTGCTCAGCATCTCTTCCAAGTAATTTTTTGAGGAACTTTATTTGAACAAGGTGTTTTGGCTCTCTAATTCTTTTTCATTAAGTTTAAAAAAAAAGTAAGAAACACAAGTTGAACATTTTGACAGAAAAAAACCCCCCAAATAATGAGCAATATCCCCTCCTTTAAAAATGATCTTCCATTTAGAAGTAAAAGGCCCGGGACTCCTTTATTTAACAAGATTTAATAGTTAAGAACTTGGAACATGCAACACAGGTCTTAAAGGCACCTTAATTCAACATTTTAGATCAAGTGTTTAGATCAAGATCAGTGTTTTCTAAAAAGGGTTTTGTCAGTTTGTTGCAATAAGATACCACAGCAGCATGCACATTAAAAAAAGACACTTATACCCAGACTTTTTTTTATTATTTAAAGGCT